CGTGCGTGTCGAGTGCGCGAAATGCAGGCGAGAGTGCGATTCGCCGGGTGTCCGCGCAACCCTCTGCGGAGATCGTGCATGTCGAGTGCGCGAAATACAGGCGAGAGTGCGATTTGGCGGATGCCTGCGCAACCCTCTGCGGAGACCGTGCGCGTCGAGTGGCGAAATGCAGGCGAGAGGTGTGGAGTATCTGGGGAGCTGGGAGATGAGCACTGGTGACTTTGTAGTACAACTGTAGTACGCGGAGTAGCTGGGGAGCTGGAAGCTCAGAACTGGTGACTTTGTAGTACAACTTTGGTACGCGGAGGAATCTGTGGAGCTGGAAGCTGAGAACTGGCGACTGCGTAGTACAACTTTAGTCCGCGGAGTATAGCTGTGGAGCTGGAAGATGAGAAGTGGCGACTTAGCAATACAACTTTAGTACGCAGAGTAGCTGGGGAGGGGGATGATGAGAACTGATGAGTGGGTAGTAGGTGAGAACTCGCGACTGTATAGTATAACTTTAGTACGCGGAGTAGCTGGGGAGCGGGAAGATGAGAACTGGCGAGTGGGTAGTACAACTTGAGGGCGTGGAGTATCTGGGGAGCTGGGAGATGAGCACTGGCGACTTTGTAGTACAACTGTAGTACGCGGAGTAGCTGGGGAGCGGGAAGCTCAGAACTGGTGACTTTGTAGTACAACTTTAGTACGCGGAGGAATCTGTGGAGCTGGAAGCTGAGAACTGGCGACTGCGTAGTACAACTTTAGTACGCGGAGTATAGCTGTGGAGCTGGAAGATGAGAAGTGGCGACTTAGCAATACAACTTTAGTACGCAGAGTAGCTGGGGAGCACTATGTCCAACTTCGGTTGTTGCCTTCCTCGCCATGCTGCCTTGTCTCACAAAAAAGGGGTCGGCGGCACCAGGGCGGAGCCCTTACAATACCGTAGTAGATCAGCACGCTTCAACATGTCTGCCCACCTTGATGGGAACTGTGCATGTGTCTGTGTACTTGAAGAGTTTTGTGAATTGTTCCTGACCCACCCTCCTCAAGTGTTTTAAATATGACTTGTTTTTGTGTACTCTGATTTGTTCACCTCAGTGGTCTCCTCAACCTGGAACAAACAGAAGTGCGCGCCTGAGCAAAAAGCTGGGCATCCTCGGTGGAGGGGCACTCCCAGCGGCACCTCGACCGGTCCACGGCAAGTTCCCATGGACAGTGGTCAACGGGAAGATCATGCCCGGAATTGGTTTAAGGGAATATGTACAAGAAACCCATGGAAAAAAAGAAAAAAACATCATTTTGAGGGTGAACACATAGGTGAAAACCATTGGACCAAGGACTGGGTTTCACCACACCCAATGACTGCATTTCATGCGCCATTTGCCCGTGGGATGGAATCCGGCAAAAAAAACACAGCCTTCCTGACCCGAGTTCCGCCAACAAAACTTTTGGAAAGGAGACAGGTGGCACAGCTTTGGAGGCTCTGCTGCAGGCCTTCCAACTTTATGTTCCCAAGTCGTTTGCAGCTTCAGCGAATGCCAAACCTCCAACAGCAACAGTCGGGTGCATCCAAGAGCGGACATCTCAAAACCTGTCATGTCGCAACAGGCCAGCAATCCAACCTCAATGTGTTGATCCCAAAGGTGCACACCATCGTCAAGAAGCAAAACTGCATAGCACATATTCTGGAAAACACTCTCTTATGGTATGAATCTTCTCCATCTTGTGGGGAATTGTTTGACCAATCCAGCCACCAACCAATGAAAACCACCCTGGGAATGCTTCAATCCTGAGCTCCGCACTGCTACTGCCTGGCATTGCGAGGAGAGGCTCGGGGGGTGACAACCCATCAACCACCTAGACTGCCTAGACTGGGATGCCTATGCCATTGTGAAAATAAGCTGTGTGGAGTAGTCATGAGTAGTTCATGGCTGACCCTCCCCTGACACTGACCCCACTTGTTGTTGGATGGTGCTGGTACGTTGGTACGTTTGCCTTGGGGTCGCTTGGAAGGCCTTCTTGCCCAGCAATGTGACCTCCCGGTTGGAACGGCACGGGAGAGCTGCTACGACCGGACATCTTCATCCTCGACGTTCAGCAGGAAATTTAACAATACAAGGGAATACCCTCCCGACGATTAACATGGACCCTGACAATGGCTCCCTGGAAGATTGCTTTCCTCTACCAATCAGTGGTTTCAGGGGTCCATGTTAGTCTTCCTGTTTTTGTGCTTCAGTTCACCATCGCTGCGCTATTTTCGCTTCAAGTACAGGCCATATGAGTACATCATGGGGGCCGAAGGCAGATCTGTCTGCGTCCAGCAGTTGCTAAAGTAAAGGCAAGCACAAGTGCTTCCCCAAAAGGAGAAACGGCATCAACTCCAGTTCCACCCTGAAAGTATGTTGATCAAGTGATTCCAGCGCTACCAAAGAACGCCCACCGTGAATATCCAAACCCCACAGAACTGATGATTCCAGGTGTCGTTTTTTCTCTCCCGATTCTAGGGCCGACCTGGGGAAATACATCAACAGCAGGAAACAAACAGTGAACCGGGTGTTCGCGAACGGATTACCGTTTTCGCCAACGGAGCAGTTCCTTCGTTTTCGCTCGTTTTCATCACGTCACGACGTGACCCGATCTCCGATCAAGGCGTTTTCTTTCCATGCCCTCACGCGTGATATCACTGGACATCTCCAACAAACACCCACGCACACAAGGGGGAAGGCCAATATCATCCAATATCATTCAAGTGAGTAATGAACTTTTTGGGGTTGATTTCGTGATTAGTCTAATTGTTTAACCCGCATTTGTCCTTCCCATTTCTTTGCACCAACGGCCTCTCCTAAACCTATCCTCGGCAATGCTCTTTTTGTTCCCTTTTGGGTCCTGAGTTTGTTGACCCACAGCACATGTAGAGCATTTTCGCGACTGTCTGACAACTGGCGCCTGAAGCTCTTGCATCCACCTGTCAGTGAAAGGTGGTGCAACATAACAATTAGGTTTTGGTCAGCACCACTCAAAGGTTGGCTATTGGACGGAAAACACATGGTCAGGGGGTCTGTATGAACCAGCCTTAGGTGGTGCTGGGGGATCCCTAAGCTCATTTTCAGATAGCTTGGGAGATTGGGAGATTTTGGGAGATTGGATCTATGGATCCGATTGCCGTGTTCCGGTCGTTTGTACATGGAAGTTCAAATATGTTCAAATGGTCTATTTTATCCTGATAGAATGGCGGGTTATGACTACCAGGCGGTGTAAAATGAGTCATTGGAAGTTGGTTATTAAAAATGTCTTATAAAACATGTAAACATTTTAAACACAACACCTGGTTTTTGACTTGTGAGTCTTTCCGCCTGTCCCCTATATACATTGGCCAAATATAGTTTGCCAGGTGACCAGTTACCAGTTTCAGGACTTGTCATGCCGAATCGTTTGTTCCGGCCTCGTGATATTCTATTTCAAAGGTGGTGTTGGTGATCTCATCCACCTTGGTGACTTGGATGAAAATTGATAATTTTGTTCTTGACGCCAATTGATGGAGTTCAATGGTCCATTTTGCATGTCAATTGTCACAATTGTTTTTCCTATGTAATTGTTATACGTATCTTGGGTTAGATAAAATGTTATAACGATGAATTGTTTGTTTTGTTTAATGTTTCTTCTTCACTTCTTGTTCTTTGACTGCGCCCTCGCCGCTCCTTGCCGCGCCTTGCCGTACCCTAGCTGTGCCGCTCCGCTCCGCTGCCGTTTTCAGGTGGTCACGCCTTACACATTTTGTAGAGGTCGCTGCCGTATAGAGGTTGGGCGGATTTAGAGGTTTAGGTGGGGCTGGGTAGTTAGAGGTTGCGCCAGTGGCTCAATGTGGAGTGTCTTTGTGTGCGTGTTTTTCATTTTCCTCTTTGTTTGGTTCTTCTTCTTTCCTCCTTCCTGTTTTTTCTTTTGCTTGATTTGGCTGTTAGTTATGCGAGTAACCCTTCGTGAATTTGGTTACTGTTTGCGATTGTTATGTGTTCACTCTAATTTCGCTGTCTGCTAGTATTTCTTTTCACTGAGGGATTTGCACCATGACTGGGGACTTACGTGCTTGCAAAATCTTTTTCGGCTGATCCCGCTCATTACTTTTCTGATCCCATTTTGGCCTGATTATGGAGAACTTCTTTTGGGCAATGCAGCTTGCTCAGATGCAGGCTAGTATGACGCAAGGCTTGCTGCAACCACAGTGGCCACAAGCCTATGGTGGGGGGCCACTGTTGCAGCCACTGGGACTGGGCCAACATGCTCCACAATCTGCTTTGGCTCCAGAGCCAACTGCCGTTGCCCAAGCTGCTCAAGGGTGTGATCGCGCTCCCGACCATAACATCCAGGAACAACACTCAGGAGAACCTCGTCATGCAGGGCATCGTAGCTTTAGCCGTAGCCGGACACCTTCCCCGCAAGTGGCACCTTCTATACCTGAGGCGCCCTCCCCTGAGGCCGCACTCTGTTTTTGATCTGAGAATACTGAGTTGGAATGTGCGGGTGCTCTTAGTGTGCCCAGCGTTTGGAAGCTCAAAACGACCATATTTGGCAGCTGGTTACCTTATACTTACCAAGTCTCCATAGCCATTATCAATGACCCATGCAATAATTCTGTGGCCCTCTTGATCTCTACAGATTTCCTTGACAAATCAGTGCGTTAGCTCAAGTTGGGGATGCGCGGACTATGTGGCTCCATGTCCACATCCCGGTGGGCAATGTGCTTGGTTTCTTTTTGTTGGCGATTTATGCTCCTCCTCCCAACCGTAGCCCGCTGGAACGCCGTGAGTCCTTTGAAGCACGAGCTGCTGACCTCCAAAACCTCCGCACTGAACCACTTTATTCTTCGTTGCCTGTACTTCTGGCAGGTGATTTGAAAATCCATATAGCTGAAATTTGTGACAAACATCCCGTTGATTGAGAGATTGCCGCCATGATTGTCAGCAACGTGGGCATGAGCCTGGTTTTGCGGAATTAATCGCTGCCCGTGATTCGGGATCTGCCATTGATTTGTTTTCTTCGTATGAATTCCCACCGGTTGTTCAGGTCTTGCCTGAAAGTGAACTTTTTTCTTCTGATCACCGGCCGCTCCTTATCACTGGTGTTGGGTGTATACCCCATGCTGAACGGCAAACCTTTGGCAAGGCTAAATGGTCTCCTTCCAGTGATGCTTGGAAGGAGGCACTCTTGCATGCCCCTTCGTGCTTGGAGTATATCTGCACATGGATTCGGATGATTTTGTGTGAAAATTTGCGCCGGGATTCATTAGTTGATGGGAGATGGCAACGTGTCAGGCAAGCAGTTGTTGACAGAGCCGTTTGGTGGCGCTCAGTAGTTCTTTGCTTAGCTGGTCATATGTGTGGTCTGGCCGTCACTGTTAAAACACATTCTTGCACCTATGGGCCCCAGGCCTTTCAGTTGGAACAGTTTTTACTTGAATGGTATGGTCCTCAGTGCCAAAGCAACATGACTGAATTTGAGGAGTTCTTATCTCATGTTGGTAGAGCTGGTAGTCCATCTTTGGTTCGGCATGTTCTTGACTGCCATGCCACGGACCCCAGTAGGGCGCAGGCTCTTTTGAGCATGTTGCTCAACCCGAGGGTTGCTACTGAAGTCAACTTTCTTCATGAAGCGTCCGGAGGAAGGCCTCTGATAGTACTGTTGCGCACCTCTTGACGCAAGAAATCCTTGAGCGGCCTAGCCAAGCTCATCCAGGCATTGACACATTCAGTGAAGTTGTGCGTGGGGCCTTACAGGCTGAGCTGCCAGGAAGGAAGCGGTCACTGAACCTCATGTTTGTTGAATTCGACGACGTCAAGAGGTGGGGGCGCGCCACATCCCTCGACACTCTTTATGTCCCTTGGCGCCGTTCCATCGGCGTGGATGCGTGAGGTGAGTTTCATCCGGAAACGGGGCCCCCAGGTTGTTATTGGCTATACTGATGAACTATACTGATGAACTTCAGACTTTGTTTGACTTGGCCTGGCTGCATACATGCCGCCGCCTACTTGAAACCAACATTGGACAAGCACAAGCCGCAGGCCGATTTGATAGCACTTTGGTTTCTTTAGGTCTTTTGATTGCGCTCCAGACTCGTCGGAACTGCTGTCTGCCAACGTTCTGTCTCAAAGCTGATCTTTTCCAAGGCTATATGATCTGGCATGGAAGTCAGCAATGTTGCTTCACACCCGATGGGCCGGTATTCGTGGTTCGTTGTGGTTGTTTGCTGACTCCGCTGTGCAGCAGGATCGCTTTCGCATCCGTTACGGGCCACTGGTTGGCCCTGCCATTCCTTTAGTCACTGCTGGGCTTGGACAAGGTGGCCGTTGCGCTGTTCATCTTTTTGTCGCCTTGGCCAGAGGCATCCCGGACCAGCTGCGCCAGAGTGTCATTGGTGTCTCTCTTGGCACCTCTCCAGCCCTGTTGGATGATAGACTACGGCTGCACAACAGATTGTCTTTGAAGTTAATATCGCACCCCTCTTGGTTCAGGCATGTCGTGAAACTGTAAACTGCCCCACTGGCACATCACACCAACTGCTTCGCTCCACGAATTTGGAAACAGCCTTGGTTGCCTGGGACGTCCTTGCCACCCACTCCTCGCTAACCTTTCCATTTGTTGATTTTCATTTGGTGGAAAGTGGAAAGTTCTGTTTTACATGGCGCTGAACCCCTGGCTAGTGGAGCAGTGGGGTGGCTGCAAGTGTCAAAACGTCTCAATGCGGAGACTATAGGGCTTTGAAAACAATTTTGGGTATTGAGGGGGCTTTCTTTGGCGCAGGGGGCTATGCCCGTGTCTTGTGTGCCTTAGGAATTGACTTACGTCTCGCAACCAAGGTGGCTTTGCGAATCTTATCTGCCAGGGCTAGGTTGCTTATTGGGCCCAATGATAGTGCCATTCCTGGCATCCTAGAAGGAGTACGGCGAGTGCCCGGAGCAACGTGGTTAGATGATTCCTTGGCATTGGAGCACAGATTTGGTATTTCTGAGGACTTACTGGGGTTTGCTCAGCAAGTGACTCAGCCGATCCCCATCAATCCAAAATCACGCCTTTGGATACGGACGGCCGTACTTCCCAATCTTCTGCAATTTGATCGCGACTGGCTTGCAACGCAAGAGCAAAACTTTCTTCCTTGGCTTCATGATGTTGACGTGGTGAAGAAAGTCCTGATGTTGCTTGCGTCAGCCCTCTGGAGCAAGCGTGAGTGGCTCTACACTCGAGCCTGGTACCTCTCCCGCCTTTCTGGGTGGGCAAAGGTTTGACATGGATCTCAATTGTCCTTACTGCAACCACCCGCTCACCTTGGAATCTGCTCCATCGGTGCGCAGCCGTGGTCTCCCATGCCTTGCGCTGGGAGTGGTGGCTTGAACCGGTGCTTGAGTTGGAGCCTTTACATCAAAGGATCCTCCACGTTGGACGCTGTACTGCTCAGGTTCATGCGGATTTGCAAACATGTGCAACAGTTCCACTTCCCACTGCCGTAACTTTACTTGGCTTCTCATGTGTGTTAATCACCTGTCCATGTTTTTTCAAAGTCAATCTTCATCTCCACCACTCCGGCCGATTCGGCGCAAGTGGGGAGATTGATGCGGGGCACTACCTGACCTGTCCCACCCCAGCCGCCCGCCGTAGGGCATTAACAGAGCCTAACCGTAAACATTCCAAATACAACACATGGTCTTCTGAGTCGTTCCGCCTGTTCCCTATATACATTGGCCAAATATGTTAGCCAGCTGACCAGTTTCAGGACTTGTCATGCCCCTTCGTTTGCTCCAGCCTCGTGAAATTCTATCTCAAACTATTAGCTCAAGCTATTCGGCCCAACTGTACTTTGCACAAAAGGAGTCAAACAAAATGCCCGAGCAAACAACATGGAACCTGAGAATTGCCCTGTGGAAGCTCATTTTCGGAATACCAACCCAGACTGCGACCTACTAGGAGATTAGGAGCTACTAGGAGCAAAGGGCATCGCTACGAACGGAGTAAGGGCGCTACGTTCGGGGCTCCTGGGCATCGCTACTAGGAGCATTCTCACTACTAGGAACAATAAGCTACTGGGGGCACGGGGAGGGAGCCGCTGCGAAGGACCGGAAGCGACTCAACACGCCTCGCCCAAACGCCCCTGTTCCTGGCCGTCGGAGACGCCGTCGACATGGGCGAGGGAGGGGTATACGGTCCCCATCAAGGGAGCTATCATAGAGAGACTCCATAACACGACTGCGAACTGGAAGATCAGCCGCCTCATGTAGGACCCCCAGGTGCGTAACCCCTTTTCAAACGGGTACCGTTTAGGATATGATGGCCTCCAACAGGTCAACTTCAGTTGGAGCTATCGTAAAGGAGGTTTTTGTCTGTTCGGTGTGAAAAAGCCTCGGTACCGACACTGCACGCTTGCGTTTTGGAATCGGACAAGGACCTGCCTTGCAAACTTGCTGGCAAGCGTGTCAGTGTGAAGATGAATGACATATCAATAGAGAATGCATGAGAATGCCAAAACAATCCAAAACGTATCAGTATTTAGTATTCTGCCCAGTGAATGAATGACTACAAAAGATTGGTCTTGACCCGATTTCAGGAACTGCTAAGTATACTACTAAGTATGCCATATATATATATATAACGTCTTTGGACCCCTGGGATTGGCAATAGTCGACTATAATTGGAGACGCGGATTTCTATTTTGCTCACCTTCAACAAAGACCCAAACTCCTCGGTTTCTCAAAGTGTTCGCATCATCTCAGCAGTTGCCCACTTGCCCAGTTGCCGACTGATGTGTTTGGAGCCAACAAATAGGCAGCACCTCTCCACGTTGGAATGCCGTCCCAAAACCACTTAGCCAATCCAAAACCATGTTTCAAGACCATTCCAAATACCAACCGCCAAGATCTACTAGGACCGTTCTTGACGCGAAACAAAACATCATGTGTTTGGCCAGCTTGGCTTTCTTGGGTTTCTTGGGCTTTCTTGGGCTCGCCCAGTCACATGTGTTCGTCCCCCAAAAGGTCAGGCGAGAGCTCTCGTGCCCCAGAGGCCTCCAGGCTCTCCCGTAAGGCTCGTGCTAAGTCTTGGTCTTCCTGACAGGAGCCGGTCGGACCGGTTGGAGGCACCGGCCATGACCAAACAACATGAAGCAAAGGGCCATGAGCGCCTGGTTCAAACCAAAGGGACGAAGCAAATGAAGCATGAGAGGGCTTCCTCACGTGATTCCCATGTTCACAGAAATTAGGATGATTTTGGAAGCTCTCCAAAATGCTTTGTCTTCAAGAGGTGCAAAGGAATTCAACGTGACGGGCCTAGAAAACTCCTAAGCTTGATGTTCGGATTCACCACGCAATCTTCCACAACAAACCAACGAGAGGGGTCACCAAGTGTCCATCCTCTAGCTCTAGTCAGAACAGTTTATGACCTCAGGACAACGACTGGACCGCGCTTTTTACCACGTCGCTGGGTCCGCACCGCACCTCGGTCCACCGAGTCCGAACGGGGTCGGTCATCGGACTCACCTCCGGAGGTGGTGGAGCAGTGACCGTTCCGACATGGCTCTGGTAACCTGCGGCGAGGACCAGATTAGGCGCGAAGAAACCACAGACGTTGGGACAGGACAAATTGTGGGGCCCTCATCCACACTTGGAATTAACTCACATGCCATGGTCGTATGGCATTCCCAACAGGTGTTCCTCAGGGTCGGCATTGCCTCACTACTGTATTAATACAGATTCCACTGGCTTTAGGTTCACTGCTTTCACTGGCTTTGGGTCGCAGGCTTTGGCGGGCCTTCCAACAGCTCATGCCTGCACTGCAACACGGCAATTTGGTTTTTCTGGACCCAAATATCCCAAGGCCGCCAGGGTATGTCTTCTTCCTGCCGCTCACCTTGCACCTTCAGGCTTGATATCCAACAGCCTCTACTGCGTTCTGTGCCTTCGCCCCACAGCATGTCTTGCTCCCTTGCAGTGTCTGACCTAATTGAAAAAGGTGTTTCTGATATCTTTGGATCACCAAAAGGTCAGATTCCTTACCAATTTGGCCAAAGAGTTTCAATGATTCAACCCAAACACTCCATGTGTATGCCGGTATGCCATATTTGCCGATCAGTTGGGTTGATTTTACGGGTCAATGTAGGCACACATACCATACATGGAGCGTCTGGGTAATGGTGCAGTGTCAACTAACCAATTCCGACCAACTGAGTCACATGCGATTCGTTGATTGATTCCATGAGAGCTCTGGGAGTCGGTGTGCAAACCCACTCTGCCTGACTCACTTGTTTTATCGTGTTTTCCTTTCTTAAACAACCCCTTTTTGGAACTCCTGGACCAATCGTGCCTGTGGATACCACTCCTTAAGGACACGTAAAATCCAAGAACCATTGGGGCACGCTTCAGATGCGGCTGGTGGACAAATGGCTGTTTCCTTTCGAGTGGTCGAATTCACCGGAACAGTCCCCCCCAACTCCGGTGTTTTCGGGTGAATGGCTCGATGCACACACTTGGTGCCCACACTCGCTTCGATGGCTCGAGCCAGTTCTGGATCCTGAAGCGGATTACGGGACTCCGACATCCGAAACAAGGACCGTCGGACCTTCCAGTTCTGGATCTGTATATATTTATTGTGTGAGCGATGCTGAAAACGATTGTATGGTTCTTCATGTGCTGGTACAATATCTTTTTGCCATGTTTTCTCTGAAATCTTTGAGCATATTCCCCATATAACATATGTGTATCCTGCTGAAGTGAACCTGTCGAAAGTTGCTCATATATAACAATATTATAGAGAGAGAAAGAGAAACCGCTGATGTTCCACAATGTTCCCACTGACCGGCTAACCGCAGTGATTTGTCGGAACCGCAGATTCCCGGTTGCCAGCCATATTTGCTCTGATGCAGGGGGAAATGCCAAAGCAGCGAGGCGGAGTCAGAATTTAGGATTTGGTTGACGAAATGATCGTTCGTGGTTCTGATGGGAGAAAAAAAGCATGCTTCTCCTCCACCCAAGCTCAGAATATACGAAGTATAGGCTGGAAGTTAATTTCTTCCCCTCACGCAATCGAAGAACAACTAAAACATATATACTGTAATTGAAACTGACAAAAATCAAACAACTATGACCATTCTTGACATCTGAACCCCAACAAATCTCCATTCAGGCTGCTCCGGGCCTCTCCAATCCCCCCCAACTGAGCCGAGGCACATCAATCCCCAACTCTGCAGCTAAAGTTGGATCTAAGCCATCCTGCGCAGCCCAGGCGGAGGGGTGGCGCAGGTTCCAAACCTTTGACGCATTTGGATGTGGCGAAAACGATCTGACTCGAGATCCAACTGTGGACACTCCATGCGATCATCTTCTGAAAAGTGGGTCGATTCAAATGAAGCATGGTAGGTGGACATCACTGCTTGATCTGTTGCTTTCCGTGGCCATTTCTGCAGGAACGTATATATAAGGAAAGGCCCTTGCAGCAAGTTCTTGTACCCAACGCAGGATGTTGAGGGACCACACCCAATTTGGTACCAGGAAAGACGTACACCGACGAGCGGGGATGTTCCAATTACCTCCACCAGCAACATCTGAGAAAGGTCTTCTATTCGATCTGCTGGAGCTAGCCGGATGTCCTGCAGCAAGGGACTTAAGAGTACATCCAAGCTGATGCTTTGGTTGAAGCAATTGGACGACCTCTGTCCAGGTGGAGATGAATGAACATGGGGGGTAACGACCAGAACGAATTGATTTCTTGGGGTTCTGTCGGAACTGTCCGCTAAACATGTCCACAGGCGTAGCGCGGGAGCTGTTCGCACGACCCACTCCCCCACACCCCAGCCGCCATCGCTGCCGGGGTTCTATGTTGTACTGGGTGCAGACTCTGCGCGAAGTTTATGCTAAATGTGGCTAAAGAACTCACTGCTCATTTACTCCTGCGCATCCAGCTACACTACATCGTCAATTTTTGTCAAATGTTTTGTTGCCTCTCCTTTCACCCGCCCCCAACACGTTTGAATCAAATGTATGTGGATGCCAAGCGGGCATAATCATACTTAGGCTCCAGGGATGATATAATTGTAATCATATTAATCAGGGAACGTGCCTAGACTTTTGGGATTCACAGTCTGTGTGTTTTCAGTATAGCCCGTCATCAGCCCTCAATTTGTCACAACTCCGATGTGTCGAAGCTGCTCTTCGCAAGTTGGAAGTTTCACTGCACATGACTCTTCCAGGAATTCTGTCTGACTATAGAAAGCATGACGGTCTGAGCGGAATCGACACCAATTCTTTTCGTGATCAGCCGTTCCGTGAAGTACTTGCGCAAGTCATGAACAGAAGCAAGGATGCCTGCTATCTTTTGCTACACGGCGGGTCATGTCCAAGTGCTACCGCTGAAGGCCGCCATGTCCGGACGTCAAAGAGCTTTGCTTCCCGGAGCAGCTGTGTGTCCGAGCCGAAACGCCGGACGAACAGGCGATTCCCAGCCATCGGTGTAAAGCAAAGACCAGGAGCGCTTTTTCAGCTGTAAAAACCTTCACATGTTTGGTAAACAAATTGTAAAAGCTCTTTAAGGACGGGGTGCACTTTGTTTGGTATGCTTTGTGCACTTTGGTGATTCTGGTCCAATTTGGTGGATCAGAACCCAACTCAACTGTGGGGCAAGTATGAACGGAATAGAATCCCAAAAGAAAACCTAACCATGGAAGTTGAAGAGACCCACTTGGAAGAGGAGAAAAAACGTATGTCCGATGTATAGAAGATTCATTCCTTAAGTATCCACCATGAAATGGTGCTCCAAAAAGGCTTCGAATGTCCCAGTTTCAGACATGGGGAGCTCGGACGGAGACCTGGCGCAGCGTTTTGATATTTGCATTTGGTAAAGCTAAAGTGTTATCATTGACCTTGAAATATTAATGAAAAACACTGTTCAGCGAGAGAAGACTGCTGGTTCGATGACGGTGAAGACTGGGATGCTCATAGGGCTCGGGGTCTCCGACAAAACTCGTTTCATCACGGCTACTCCTAGGCATTCGTCACCACTGCGGTGGCAAATGCATCACAAAAGACTTGCTCTTCCTGCTGTCCTTCGTCCTTCCTTTCAACCCGATATTTGCATGGTTGCATGGCTTGAGCTCTATGGTTTGTGCAGCAGAGTTCTGGTGAGTGCAGCTTTGTGACGATGGATTTGAGGAATGTCGCTTCCGGCGTATGCATTCCGATATGTCGAACATATGAACGCTCACATGTTCTTGGTGCGAGGGCACCTGATTGATCGCATGTGCGTAGGTCCTTTCAACCCAATTGATGATTTTGTTTGATCAGCTCTGAGGTTTATGTTGCAAAGCTCTGGTGAGCAGAGCAAAGGAATAACAAAACGCACTGAGCACAAACAGTGAACCGTTCTGCTCTGTGCACCTGTATAACTTTGATTGAAATGCTAAAACTGAGCCTGGGCCGAGACTAGGAAACAGGAGCGATAGTGAAACGGCAGGGACACAGCAATAGCATCTTGAGGCCATCAGGCATCTTGGATGTCCATCACATCAAACAAGGAAAACAAACGCCGAGCCCCACCGCCCACATTGCCGCCGAGCCCTTTCTGCGCCGAGCCCCACCGTCAGCGGCGCCGAATCTCCACCTCGGCGCTCGCAATTGCATCGCGAGGGCGACCGGATGGCCAAATGCGAGGAGAAGTACATGGATAATTGAGATGATCGTATGTAATTTCACACACGTTGGATATATATATATATATATTGTGAATTTCGAACCTTTCGGTCACTGAGGAACCAGTCTTGACCCACTCAGGTGTGTTCACGTCCGAAGCCACGAGTGTGCGAGGCCGCAAGGGTGGTGTAGGGTGGGTCACCCGTGACCTGAGCCATAGAAGCAGTGAGGACACTGCAGGGCGAGGCGCCCGACCGTTCGTACCAACCTTCAGGTGAGCTGTGAGTGGAAAACGCACACGGCTGTGCGAGGGAAGGAGGACCTTTTGTTGCTACCTTTGTGTCAATCACATTGGTAGCGGAGCTACCGCTAAAGCTCCAGACAACACCTGACCCTTGTGCTTGGTTGTTGTTGACTGCGTGGTTGAGTCGGTGAATACGTTGTTTGGCCGCAAGGCAGTCGACAGGTTGCACATTGTCTTGGTGGTGTTGTCACAGAGTTGTTGAGCTGCGGTTTCCAGGGAGGAAACAGCCCAATGCCACCGGAAGGTGATTCAGCTGGCTCCAGTTCCTCCACAGGAGGTTTGAGCAATCTCCCACGGAGCCAGGTTCCATCTTTCAAGCCTGGTGAGACGGACCTCACTGAAAGGTCACGGAAAGTAGAGTTCCTGGCATCACTATGGCCTCCAGAACAACTACACCTGCTTGCCCCACGAGTTGCATTGCAATGTGAGGGATCAGCCTTTCAGAGAGTTGCCAGACTGGACCCAAAGAAGCTGCGTGTTGGAAACTTGGAGGGAGTGAAGGCCATCGTGGAGGCCCTTGGAGGGATTTGGGGAAAATCCCGATTGGAGGACAAGTTTGAAAGGTTTGAGCGTGCAATCTACAGCACGGTCCAAAGAGCCGACGAGACCCATGAGAGCTATCTAGCTCGGCACGATCATCAATTCGAAGAGTTGCTGAGCATGAAGGTCGGCATGGATGAGTTTCGTGCATACATCTTGCTTCGCAACTCAGCCCTGAGCTCAGAAGACAAGAAGAGACTGATTGTTGAATCGCAGGGTTCACTGGAGTACAGAGAGGTGGTATCCAATCTGAAGCTCCTGATTCTTCCATGAGGTCCACTCCAGCGGAAAGCAGAACAATCCAAGGACCAAAACCTATGAGGCCAATGCGTTCATTGCCCAAGAAGCTGATGGTCACGACCAAGCACCCGACGAGCCCACCTACAATCTCGATGATTGGACCGAGGAAGAATGGATTGAGAGTCTTGCAAATGATGGTGACGAGGACGCCGCCATGATCATGGAGTATGAATCCACAATGTTGGATGCAGTGCAAGACAACGAAGATCTAGCATTGACACAATCATCATACATGGATGCCCGTCGCCGCCTGTCAGAGCGCTTCAAAAGCCGTGGGTTCTGGCCAACAAGTCAGAACAAAGGCAAAGGAAAAGGGAAAGGGGGTGAAAAAGGAAAGCGATCCCCTTACTCCTTAAAGTTTTCTGGCAATAGAAAGAGCCTCCAGCAGAGGATCATGGAGAGCAGCTGCAGGATTTGTGGCCGAAAAGGCCATTGGAAGGCTGAATGCCCGCAACGTGGATCTCAGTCGGTCCCATCGACAGCTGTTGCTCCTACACTGGTGACAGTGAATGATGAGCAGGACGCGCTGCCACTGGAGTTCATGGATTTGCCAGAGCTGACCAAAGAGACGCTCAACGCCACTCAAGAGAATACGAAACAAGTTTTGTGTGTTTGTGAATCAAGGGACACCGGTGTTCTGAGGGGTTTGTGGGAGACCAATGAAGGGGAAATCATTGATTTAGCCCACAAAGGGGAAATGATCACCGAGTGTGAGAATTTTGATGTCAGGACTAGCTTGCCAGAGAGTGCGTTTGCTAGCACCGCCCAATCACCTGAAGCCAAGTCGATGCGTGACACCGAAGCCAGTGCATTCTCGAGCTTTTCAACTCGCGATTCCCTGGGAATCGTAGATACAGGTGCTACTAAGACCGTCATAGGAAGCGGTTTCGTAGCCAATCTCCTAGCCGCACTAAGGCCAGAGGTTCGGAAGCAGGTCCAAAGGTGTCGTTGTTCAGTGGTTTTTCGGTTTGGGAATCAAGGGACACTTGAAAGCAAGCATGCACTCGTTGTCCCAATCGGACCGCTGAAGCTCAAGATTGCCATAGTGCCAGGCCATACACCTTTCCTGCTGTCGAATACTCTGCTCCGAGCCATCGGGTGAAGTGATCAAAAGCACTCTCTTGAAGCGCAATATTCCAATTCAGCTGAATGCCAAGGGTTTGTTTTTAGTTGATCTAAATGATCTGATCACACCCACCAGTCAAGATGCCGAAGCTGAACCTGCCGAGACCTTCACCACTTTGAATTGCAAAAGCTTGCCAAGTGTCTCTGTCCAGAAGCCTGGACAAGTGCAGTCGGAAACCAAGACCATGATGAAACAGAACGTTCAGGTGAGGACAGGTCTTGTAACAAGCAGAATCCAACAGTTCGAAGCCGCCATACCCGAATCAACAAAGACCCATACGAACACAAAGAAACCAAACGAACGTCCGAGTGTTCGCGGGGGTGAGAAAGTCTCATTCGAATCGGTTCCAGGGGGGGTCCAGTCCGGTGTCATCCGTTTTGGGTTCAAGACCGGATCTGTGCAATCACACACGTGTGACCATCCCATTCGTTCACCTGTGCCGCATCACTATCATGCCGACCTCCGAAGCAGCCGCTCTGAGTGCCCGCTTGGCACGTGTCATGGGGGAAGCAAAGAAGGAAGAAGCCCTCGATCAGCTCGAAGCCTTCAAGGTCCTATCACTGGACGAAATGGGCCAAGCCAAGATCGATTTCGGATCAGCCCATCTCGGTCGGACCTACTCGGAGATGTGGGAAAAGGAGGGCAAGTATGTGAAGTGGTTCCAGGCAAGTTACCACTCGTCGAACAAGGTCAACCATCAGAAGTTCATCCACTACATCTCACTGAGGGTGACCTATGCCGAGCACCAACTGGGTCTGAACAGTCAAGACCTGCAGCCATCACCAAGTCAGAGGCCACTTCATCCGGCTCTCAAGAGCAAGGCCAAGGCCAAGCCGATTCAGGAAGTGACCCCGCAGGACTTGGCAGATCTTGCTGAGGACGAATCCTGGGAACCAGTTCAGGAGATCGAGATCCAGCCAGAGATCTACACGGAGATGGCAGCCATGGACACCCGCCTTCAGACC